GAAAAAAGAAGGATTCGAATCCCAGCACTTAAATTCCACTCGTTAACTGAAAGCCATGATTCACGAAGAATTTTGAGTTTTTTTTTGTTCTTGACTTCGGCCGCCGTTTGAAAATTTCTTCGTCTTCTTTATGAATATCGTACAACGCTTGTTGAATCGATTCTCCATGGAATTACTAGGGTGTTCTACTGCGAGGGTTGGAGGGAGTGACCTTATCTAGGGCCAGTCTAACACCAACACTTTCCTACCCTAAATGGATTAGAGGTCTACCGGGCTCCGTGTGCAGTCGAAACAGCGCTATCGTTTGCAGCGGGCGGCTATCACAGTGGTTGTTGTCATCATGAGCACGATACTGATTAGACCACGACCTGAGGTGCTACCGCTTCGCGTTCAGGAAGTTCGTGCAAGACTCGTTTGGGATCAGTTCAATCCATCCAATCCACATAGAAACGTTATCAGATAATCCCAAGACTCAGTTGAAAATCGAATTGACCAACGTTTAATCACACTCTCCATAAAAGTTATAAGATTTAGTGTAGAAGCCAACTATCATATTTGTAACGGCCTCGTTATCCGGCTTAACTAAAAAAAGTGCCAAACCACTAGTAAGGGCTTAATTTTTTGGTTTCAACTAGGTTAGAATTATTTAAAAGTTTTACTGTTTAAGTTCAACCGATGATGCTAGGGCTATCTTGAATCACCAGAGAGGATTCAATACTCTGAGTACTCCAAGTAACTCTCTGAAACCTGACGCCACTAATCGTCTCTCTTCCATCAAAAAGATGAACTGCTTCGTTAGACAAAATTCTTATGATAAGCCATATGCTCATACTCGTTCTTAAATAAGAAATAGCAGACCCGTTAATTACAAAGCTACTTGTTATCTTAACTCTTTTATTTACTGCCTTTTTCTTCTTAATGACAGGTTATGTTGCGAAATATAACTCGTATGAAATGCTGAGATATTTGCAAAACTCCGGACCACAGATGTATGCAGTGGAGAACGAACACGCGCTGTTGTCCTTACCGGGGAGCAGCGCGTGTTCGTTCTCCATTGCATACACCTGTGGTCCGGAGTTTTGCAAATAACTCAGCATTTCATACGAGCTACTTCTTATGTTCTCTGTGGTTAAGGTTGACAACGATTAAGCAAGAAAAAGCACTGAGCATGACAAGTGTTTTGCTTAAGCGAATTTGGCTTCATATTAGAATTCCTAAGTGCGTAGAAATTTTATACAGCTTAATTTGAATAAAAGGAGAAAAACAAAGCTTTTGGCCTTGATCAATTCTTTAGGTATGAGAGAACGATCCTACTTAGTCAAGCAATGTAGAGGTAACTGAATGCATATTAGGCAAATACAATAACTCTCCATGGCGCGATATACCGACCTATCAAATCAGTGCTATGATCATCGTAGACAGGCCGGTTACCAATCCTATGACTCCGATGGATGGAAGAATTGGTTTATTCGAGACGCCGCTTCGAACCAGAGACCGATCCAGCGTATGCTGCACAGCAACACTAACCACTGCGCAAGATACACAGAGTGCTTGGATACTTAGACTGCCCGTCCTCACTGGTTGTGGGTACCCCACCATATTTTCCATTTTCCGGAGATTTGCTGGTTAAGCCACTGCGTTTCCCTGGAATCCCAAGGTCAGCCTGGCTGAAGTCTGTCTCAGGCTGTCGCCATCACAGGCAGTCGCCACCCTTGTGAATCAGAGGGAGATTTGCTATCATGCGACTAGTTTGATACCAGAACAGTGGTGGACCCTGGTATTGGCTTACTCTTAGCTGGGCTTCCTGATGGAAACTTCAGACTCCAGCTTGGGAGACTCTGCCTGGGGGATGAAACCCGTCGCTGTGCATCGCAGCTCGGCACCCAAGAACACCTCCCAGCCAGGATGAGGTGGTAAACCGTTTGGAGGACACGAAGAGTAATTTAGGTCAATGTCTATAAACTAGGAAGTAACTAGGAAGCATACGAAAGCAGTGTGACGTAGCTTACAGCAAATAAGCCACATACCTATTCTATGTTGTTTTTCGTGACACTCATGCGAACCTAGATTTGCCAAAAACGAAGTTCCATCGAGCGTCGTTGAAGAACGGTGACGTTACTGGTGTCCACTCACGCCATATAATGACTAACGCATGATTACAAACTGACAGAAATAATGGCTGTTTGCCGAAATCTTTCGAGAACCCTACCAATTGTTCACTATTCGTTCAAATGATGATGAGAGAGCAAGTTATCGTCGTCACCGCTTTCCGCCCACGATAAACTAGAAATGTGATGATATTGGTTTTGCAGCAGTAGTAGTACAGCCGAATTGTGTGTGCTCTGATAAACAGCTTTAGAATGAGCTGCAATTAAGCACATGACTGCAAAATAATCTAATTATAATGGCGCTTAGCATTATATAGTTGTCATCAACTGCGTGAATGAAGCGACGTGTCACAAGGGATGATGACAAGCGAGCGAAAGACGAAAACGAAAGAGGAAAGCGGAAGCTCTGTTCACCGACGACGACGCGGAAAACACCGTGCACTTCTGTAGCGATTCTGTTATTAAAATGCATGTCGTTTTTTGTCGATGAGCCGTCGACGAACAGCATACGAATTGGAAATAGCAGTCCGGCTATTTATTTCATCAACATTTTCCCTTCTGCGAGCCACTAATCTATTATTTTATTCTCGTATGAAGTGCTGAGATATCTGCAAAACTCCGGACTACAGGTGTATGCAACGGGGAACGAACACGCGCTGTTGTCCTTACCGGAGAGCAGCGCACTTCACCACTACACCATCCGGGTATTATTTTATTGTTTTCCAAATACTCAACTGTTGATTACTCATACATTTATTTTATTTATTTACAATTTACTGGTCGACAATTTAGCAATGTGAGCGCACTTTGCACATTTTTCCACTGGTTACACAAAGAAGTCCAATAACAAAGGACTAACTTTCCTAGAAAGACAACCACAACGTCGCTGAGATATTTGCAAAACTTCGGACCCCAGGTGTCTGCGGTGGGGAACGAACGCGCTGTTCCCATTTTCGGTGGCTAATGCGTTCACCACCACATCATGTGGATCCTTCGTTTTTTTTCGGTTTTTTTTCGTTTTTCCGAAGTGAAAGACACGCATGATATGGAGGTAAACGCGTTAGCCCCGGAAATGTTAATAGCGCGTTCGTTCCCCTCCGCAGACACCTGCGGGCAGGGATTTTGCAAACATCTCAGTATGGTTGTGGTTGTACTTCACATAATACCGTGCTGTAAAAATTGTAGAGGCGGAAAATAAAAAGTTAACATTGTGATTTCCTAGAGAAGTCATACTAGACAAATATTTTTTTCAAAAAATTTCCTTTAATGACCAGGTTGTGTAAAAGAAGCCTATAGTTCTTTGACATATACAAATCCGATAATTTCTGTAGTCTGTTGTCGAAGAGATGACCGTACGAAGATGAATTTATCGAAGGAAAAAATTTTCATGAACCCTCACGAGAACTTTTAACAAACGTTGAGGGCTTTGTTTCATTCTAGGACAAATCACATCTCGCCAGGTGGTAATCCACTGAAAAATGAAAGAGAAACATAAGAAGATTGAAACCAGCCGATGTGATCACTTAATGCATCTGACATTTATACAACATTCTAATTCCGGATCACTCACACGAGATTCCTCCTTACAAGAAGAAAATCATAGTACAAAAGTATAGGGAGGAGGAAATCTTCGTTCTGTCTACGCCAACATAAACTAGCAAAGAGAAAAACGAAATGAAAGATCCTCGTGGTGTGGTGGTGAAGGCGTTAGCCCACGGAGAGGGTAATAGCGTTTTCGATTCCCACCGCGGACAACTGCGGTTCGGTGTTTTGCAAATATCTCAGCATTACAGTGATTTTACATTGACTTTGTTTTGTCCCATTGTTTTTCTGTACAATTTCTCACCTCATAAAAATTCTTAGTCGAACTTTTACCGCTATCGTTGACATCCTAATGTCTTCATACATTCTTTCTGAGAACTAATTCCACCTAAGAACTAACTATCTTTACATAAGCACTTCAGACAAAAAATGTTACTCTTTTCTATTGAGGGCACTTCTGATTCGAGTGCTGTGCGAAGAAACGAACAGACAGCAACTGAAGTTAATTAAACGCTTTTTCGAGAGAACTACGGCAGCATGAGCAGGATTTCAATTTCCCGTTTTTGCTTAGAACCAACAAATCAGATTCATTCAGTCGTCATCTTTGTCTTAACTAACAACTAATTCATTTAATAGTTTTACACACTTCCATGCACACAGTATGTTTATCTGCAACAACAACATCAGATAGACCTTTTTTAATTTTCTTTTCCTTAGTTAATAAAATATCGTAATCATTGAACACATTGTACATACTATGCTGAACGAGATCACCGTGCATGATGTCATAATGAAGAAGTAGAACACATACCCGTGCGTGTACAGGTGTTTGTGTGTGAATGCGTACTCTACAGCTCCGTAAAAGGCAAGACAACTACTCTGTACCAGAAACGAAGTAGACCAGCTCATGGCAATCGATAACTATCTAATACGTATTCGAATCGAATCATCGTCAACGATACCAGCAACATTTACACACGGAGACAAAAGTGAGAGGAAATAGAGGCTAAGGAGAGATGAGATAAATGAATGAAGTTATGTGTCATGACCGAAGTGGTTAACTAAAGAAAGTTCACAGCAGGTGCAATGCGGTACCGGGCAAGAATACGTGTATTGATACATGAGCGAGCGAAATGTGTTTGAGATTGGATGAATATTCGAATAAAAAGAAGGAAAACAAATCCAAAGAATGAGAACGAAAAAAATGGACAACTTTGGATATTCGGTGTGAAAATGCTTTTAGTTAATGAGACCCGGTGAAGCACCAGCATATGCAACGCGATTCCTAATTGAATAAGAGACACTGAAGAGTACGGTCGTCCATATTGCAAAATTTTATGTACCGTAATTCTACCAATACAGTAGGTGTCGTCGACTGTGTCGATTATGACGTTTTGGAGCGCTTGTGAACATACGCATGCACAATCGGAATTTATCCGTTGAAAAGCAATCCGATCTATAAAATAATCTACATTGCTTTGGAAATTCGTCGTTTACATCGTCAACGTTACAGTGAACAACAATATGGCCGTTGGACCAAGTTAGAACTCACCAGGTCACCTTTAACCATTCTTTTCGAAACAATCAACAAATAAATTATTGTATGGGATTTACAACAAATAATGTAAAAGAGATGTACCTAGTGTTTGGTCAATAAGCATATAAAGTATGTAAAAAAGAATTTTCACCTGCATTCGGATCGCATATTAGGAACCTCGTGACTGTGGAATTCGTGGCAGAGTTCGCAGATTTTCTCGGCAACTTCTTGAAGTGGTAAGTTCATCTGCGGTAAACATTCGTTACTCGTCAACGGTTCGTCAATAATTCGAGCGTTAGTGGCGCCGAACGCGATGAATGTCAAATGGATCATAACGTAGTGGCTGAACATCATACCGTAGACTTAGGGCTCTGAAAGCTCCGTATGTATGGATGTATGTATGTATGTGTGTGTGTGTGTGGAAGGTGTATGAAGTTCGTGGCAAGTATCTTCAGTATGATGAGCAGCTTTATATAGGCCGATGAAAGCGGAATGCTGAGAATGTGACGACCACGCCTACCTAGTCTCTCCCACCCTTTTCGTCCTCCTAAATTACGCCTCCACACGTCGAATTTCATCGGGTCCCAAAAGGATACAGTACCCAAACAGAGTTGTTCGCAAACTTTCCAGCTGGAAACGGATTGACAGGCTAACAAACTGCTCACTGTATTCGTTTTTGCAAGTAATACCTCCCTTTCGCAATATGAAAGGCATGGATGAGATTTGACCCCGATTATACGTTCTAAGGTAAGTTAAACATGAGAACTGACATTTTATTAGGAAATTTTATTAATTCTACATGGCTTACAAATCCAATTATCCATAGACCTATGTTGATTAGGAAAAATAGAATATGGTTGGCCAATATAGAAGTTTATGATTTAAACTTTGGTATTATTTCAATATGAGACCAGTAGAAAACAACTAAACTTTAATGATCAAAATTTTAGCTTAATACTGAAGCTAAGGTGCATCGAGTAATGAATTGGTACAAAAATAGAAAATAATGAGAGGAACATTGCTATACTCAAGCCGTCAGCAGGTGATGAAGGAGGAGTTCGAAGTTGATTCCCTGTGGATGAAATAGTTCCAATGAGTAATTACGTATTTAAACTATGTAATTATCTAAACCAAAATCTCGTCATGTAGAACTACCGTTAAGCTCCTTCTCATTGAACTTTAAGGTGTGAGGTGGGTGACTAGTGAAAGGATGTCAGCTTACAAGTAAACCTTTAAAAAACGGTACAAAAATCGGTGACTTTTCCTAGGAACTCTTCAAAAAGGTCTGTACAATAATCAGCGATAGAACTAACTGAATCAAGTTAACTGAAGCAACGATAATGAATTTCTGTGAATATTTCACTCGACTTCATCACCACTTCACCACTGAAATAGTTTTCACCTTGTAGAGAATCCAGCTACGACTTTCAAGAAGAGAATTTAGAAGACTTGTTAACTACTCGTTCCGGGCTAAATAGACGTCGCCGTACAAGAGTATTAAAAATACGTTGAAGATTTGATTAAGCTAGCCAAACATATAAACCAATCTTTGGAAAAAGAAAAGTTGTGAAGAAACCTGTAACATTGTGAAGAAAAAATTGTCGGTGGTGTCAAGTTGTCAAGAACTCAATCGACGGGCTCTCCCATCATCCCTTCGGAGTAGAATTTTTGCTTCTAGCGCATCTAGATTTTGGTGGGATTCTCTCAATCACCTCAGAAAGTTGTCTTAACTTGGTAACGATGATGTGATTTTCCTAACAACTCAACATCGTTGAGGGTATGCGACTTCGGCGCCCATACTGCGCTTTCCCTCCAACTATCATTGTTATTTTTATTATTTACTATTTTTGTACCAAATGTTGTTATCACTGAGCGGCATAAGTGCTCCATTAACCTTTTCAGCTTTTAGTGCTCTATTTTAACTAGATTCTAAAACCCTCTCGTAAATTTTAAATGTTCCACCTTTTCCTTCTTAAGAACTTTTTCCTGATTTTTTTCAGCCACACCATCACGTTTCTAATAAGCAGTGATTACCAGCCCCCATTATCCTCTTTTTCTTGGCTATAAGTGTTGCTTCAAAAGTTGATCGACTACTTTTCCTGGCTGCACAGTCACACCCGAAATCATCTTAGTGTTCATCTTTACGAAAAAGGTGTTGTTTCATTTTAAATAGTATAAAAGACCTTTCTTAACATCGAGCTTTTCAACTTGGTGTAGTTTTTTTAAAAGAGGTAGGATTTAAAGAGACTTATAAAAAACTAGGAGGTCTTTGCCTACTGCTTTCCAAAGTTCTTTAAGTGTATTTTTGATACTTGATACTTGATCTTGAATGGCCCGTCCTCACTGGTTGTGCGGACACCAGCACAGCATAATCTTCATTTTTCGTAGATTTGCTGGTTAAGCCACTATAGTTTCCTGGAGTCTCGAGGTCAGCCTGGCCAAAGTCTGCCCCAGGTCTTCATCACCACGGGCAGTCGCAGTCCTTGTGGACCAAAGGGAGGTTTACCGCCATTCGACTTTGATACCAGGACGGTGGTGGATCCTGGTATTGGTTTACTCTTAGCTAGATTTTCTGATGGAAACGCCGGACTCAGTTTGGAGACCCTGCTAGGGAATGAATCCTTCCGCTGTACATCGTAGTCCGACACCCAGAAACACCTTCCAGCCACGATGAGGCGGTAAACCGTTGGGAGGTTAGGTGCATTTTTAGATGCTACAACTTTAAATGTCAGCAGTAGTTTTATTGGAATTACTTTTTTAATTATAAAGCAACAAAATGAGATGTCTGGTGTAGAGAGGCTTAGAGAAGAATCGATAGTGTAAAAATTTGACTTTATTCCCACGAAATACAAAAATCAAACAATAACAGATATAAAAGTATGCAAGTTATATAAGATACTGTATTATATAGTATAAAGTTAACGAACAGGCATCAGATACTGTGATAAAGTTCGTTTTCTTAATAAGGTGGTTCCAAAATGTTTAGAAGCACACGAGGTTCTTTTTCTCAAGAGCTCATTTCGACTACCCTAAGCACTGAGGTCTTAGCAAAGACAGCACCCTTACGGGAGAAATTTAAAATAGACTGAGATCGTTCGTTACTACAAAGATAGAATGTCTTTCTGCTTGCAATGACGAATTTCTTCTTACCAAGAAGGTTGAGCACAATATATGTTGCTTATACTCTTAAAAAAGACGCGTGTAGCATGTGGGATAGATCCTCGCAGCCCAGGTCCACCAAGCCCTCTGTCCATCGGAGTCGGCAAATAGGTAACAGACTAGTCTGGAAGGATAGCAGCACTGGCTCAATACATCACATCGGAACCCCACCGCGAATCATTATAAAAGTCAGCTATGCATTCAATCAGCTCCAAACGGTATATAATGAAGTCGAATGCATGGCGTTTCTCTCATGGATTGATCAACGCCGAGAGATTTTCCCTTTCTTATACTCTTAATACATCCCAACGTCGAATTCAGCCCTTGACGGATTTAAGCTGCTTAGAAAATTTTAGTAGAATTCAATGTTTCGTTGATGACAGTGGTGATCGTTGTGAATGGTTCGTGGATCCTTCTCTCCATCTTCGAAACAACGACGGTATCTACAGGCCTCATCGCGTCTCATCCCCTATCATTAGTATGTTCTTTTTTTAACTATCTTCCATGGCATAGAAATGCTTATTTCGACGTTATTAGTAGACGCTAATGTGACAACTTGGTGTCGTTAAGGAAGAATTCAAAACATCTCGAGACTGGCCAGACAATGTCATCATCACCAGTCCGTGATATGAGGTAAGGTAAGCGTTAGGTAAGGTAAGCGTAAGCAGTATGAGCTCTTCTAAACCTTCCTAATTTGTCGTAAAACAAATCTATAAAGCTAATCGATAGTGGAAAAAAAGTTTGAGCAGGAGTTTGCCACTCTATAGCGATTTGCTCATACCTGCTCCAAAATGATCTGGGTTACACTTAATAAGTTTTCGTTGAAGTGGAGAGTTTTGGAAATCGCGTTTGATATTGATAAGCCTTAATTGTCAACGATTCTATTTTTTTCGAGTATCTTTACAACTGCTCTTCGTCTATGGACAACTTACGGAATAACTTTCTAATTATCTTTATGTAAAACACTAAATGAGGAAACCGATACTGGTAAGACGGCTCGTGAAATCCTTTCGTTAGTTCATTGAATTTTGCTTTCAGAGTCTTTCTCTAAACTGTTTTTGGTAAGAGTAAGAGTAAGATAGAGATAATGATAAGATAGGGTAATGATAGGAGTAGGATAAAAGTAAAAAAAAAGAGTACTTTTTTATTATCTCAGAAACCCAAATACTGGTGTAATGTAGATACAGGAAACCAGTATTCAATGAGTTTGGTCGGTATTGTCTTCAAATCAGTTTTCAGTGCTGTTGACAACGAAATAAGAAAATTTTCTCAGTGAAGTCCTTATCCTTTCTACGCCTCGGTTTCGATGGGTCCAAATTTTTCTCAGAGAATGCTGAGATTTTCAGCGATGAGTTGTTGAGTACCAACTGTTCCAACTCTACACCGTTCTTCTTCATACTGTATTCAACTCGGCATTCGACATTAATTTCGTCTATGTCGGCTCCGTGCCAGTTGTTCTACTTTTTATGAGGCAACCTAATAGAGCGATTCTAACAGCAAAGGCCACTACTGACTTCCAGCACACCAACTACCCAAACATCGAAGGTTTGGAAATTCAGTGAGAAATAACAGGCGGCTTCTAACCTGAATTCGTTTTCTTATAAATATGATACCAAGCTCACTTAAATAATCGACGATTTCCTCATAGTAAAACTAATGACGAATACGTTAGTAGTAAATAACTCTGAGTGCCTAATTCACAGACATCTATGAGACAACAGATAACAGTCGTCACTACCGTAATTATCTCGTCTACCTATACTGGAGCACTCAGCGATTTTTAGCGGAAGGTGAACTGTAGAGGGGAATTCGTCCGCAATTCTCGATGACGCTCGTCAAGAGCTCAACAATAGTTGCGACGTGAGTTGTGTGAAGCGACTCGACCCGATGTTTGCGATGTCGCTTTCGTCGATCTTTTCGGGCCGTCGTACCTCACCCGAAAATCATAATCGACAACATACGTCGCATTCCGATCGGTCCACTCCCGCTGTCTACCCATCACCAATGACCAATATGCGTATATAATAATCTCTAATGCCTGAGCTCTTTCCGCCGGAAATTCCGCCGACTATCGCCAGCCTTCCTGATGGCGTAAACGGCATTCCTAAGATTTATGACTCATCAATAGTGTTCAGGCAATGATCCGTAACGATATTATCATCCCCACCATCATCATCATCAACATCGTCGTCATC